AAAATCTAGGCCACCTTTTATCAGAAGGGTTTGCAGTGCCACTCAAAAGAGTTGGGATACAAATTCAATAATCCCTGCTCTGTGTACAGCATATAATAATTCAGGCAAAGCTGTTGAAGATCTTTATTCTACGGTACCTCTTAATTTCTTTGTTTGTGTGGTCTTCAAGTGTTTCCTTCACAGCAATCCTTTGCTTCTTTAATTCAACTTACAGCAAATTATATCTTCATGTTACTATGCTATCTTTGTGTTAAATGGTGGCTTTATTATGAAAAATGGAGATTGTGTGAACTTTACCCATTTTTTGGCCTCGAACTTCTGAAATTTGATCAAATATTTTTGGCCTTGGAATTGATAAAACTGTTGAGCTTATTGCTTTGTTTATTTTTCATAATGAGATCGAATTGGTGAGGAAATTTAATTGGTATATTTGAAGTCTCTTAAAGTAAGGAAATATGTATCATGCAAAAGTCATGTTTTGACTTTAAAGGATATTATAGATAAAAAGAAAGATGTCTTAAGGAGCAAGACTATTGTTTTGTGAAAATATAAGGGCACATCAAAGCATAATAAAATACAAGTTAGTTGAAAGTTTGAAAGTGAAATAACAAAGGATCACCCGTTTGTTAAAGTTGCATCAATTTAGAAGACGAAACTTTCAATGAGGGTTGGAATATAATAACCCGCATTTTTCTAAACCTTCACTAGATATTATTGACTTCGAATAATAATAATTGAAACACTGTCTCTTATTTGAAATAAATATAATTAATATAAGTTATGAATTTACTGGTATTCATAAATCAAATAAATAAAAGAAGTGTTTTTTATTAAATAGTAAAATGATTTTTAGAGGAAGTTAACTCCTAGTAAAAAAAGTAAGATTATTTTACTTAAATATGTTTTAGTTAGATGATTTTATTTAACACAAGGAATTGATTAGTTTCTTTAAAAACAAAATGTAGTGGATTTGCGTTAGAGAAAACTGTGGATATTGTTTCGAAAAATGGAATGTGTGATTTTATTTGATAAAATTGGTGTACATGATTTTCCTAGAGATAAAGAAAGTATTTTCGGTGACCAATTGAAATGATTCCTTCAATGGTTATTTCTTAAAGGATTGTGATTTAATTGTTTATTTAAGGTAAATGTGTTTTGATTGTGAAATATATTTTTTGATGTAATCAATGTGTAAAAATATGTTTTTAAAGTACAAATGTGTTTCAAAGTCTAATTATTTAAAGAAATAATCCTTATATTTTAAGCTAGTAAAAGCCTAGTTTTTACTAGTCAAATTATTTATGTATTTATTCAAAAATAATTTAATATAATGTGCAATGATTTTCTTCTAGTAGAAAGAAATTATTTTATATGAAATATTATTGTTAGCAATGCAAGAATTGAATAGACCAAAAGTGTTTAGGAAAAGGAGGGAGTTAGGATTGTCGTACCCTTTCAAGTATTGGACAGTCCATATATATAAAAGGAAAAAGGGACAAGGAGAAAGGAATTTGCTGGAAATTAAGAAAAAGAATTTGGAGGAGTTTATAGGTTGTGTTGGAAGTAAAGTTGGACATCCCATAGTGTCGACTAGTCCAACAGAACGAAGTTGAGTGGAACAAAGGACTACGGAGTCCAAGTTCAAGAGGATTATGAGGTTTATAGCTTGAAGTATCGGTTTATAACAGGGGTAAAGAATCGAAGTTAAAGTGTGATTTGTTTAGGTGTTGAATGAAGCTTATAAATATCCCTGGGTTTGAACGTTAGCTACGTGTTTTTTTTAGGAAGTGCAGAGCTTATACACAAAGAACAAAGGCAAGTTAGTGGCTGTAACTTGGTGAAATAGAAGAGTGCTGAAGAGAGAGGAGAAGATTTCTGCCAGTAGATGTTCGGTTCTGATTCTTTTTGATAACGTTTTTAGAGGATTTTATATAATGAATTCTGACCTCCTAGTATGATGACCATGTCTGCAGTCCTTAAACGAGTTTGTTTTAAAAGGGGTAAAAGATATTATATGCGTGTGTTTAGTCTGTTGCTGGAGGTGGGGAAATCAGAAATTAGGACTGGTTACTACGTCTTCTGGGATTTGTAACTGGTTCTGTGTTTATCCGTTTTGCCTGAGATTTAGTAGAATTGTAGCTACATATGTGGTGAATATGTGTACCATATTTCAGAGGGAAATTCATTGTGCAACTCAAGTTATGAATTTGTGTTTATAAACTGGTTCAATTTCTGCTCTGTGCAGCATTGAAATTCTGAGATTTACTGGAAACAATAGAGTGGTCCCATTCGGCTGAAATTTAGCAGAATTGTGGGATTATGTGGGTGACATGAGTATAAAATTTCATGCAAAAATTCGAAGTCTAACCCCGGTTTTTATATTTCGTTCTGAATTTGGTCTAGTTTAACCGATTGTGGTGTTTGACGAATTTTTGCCAAGAAAACGAATTGAGATAATTTGTTTTTCCAAGAAACCTTTATGGTGACGTTTTAAACATCCTGAGAAAATGATAATTTTCGGATTCTATGAACCTTATAGATCTGGTTGAGAATCAAATAAAACTTAATTGCCTAATCTGTCAAAACCCTAGACAGACTTGAACGTTTACAATTGCGTTGAAAACCCATGATTTTTGAGGTAGTTTTTCTCAGAAAGAATCATGATTTCAGAGTACAATAAATGTAGAGTAGTTGAGTTGTGGATGTTTTGGAAGATTTTTTAGTGTGTTTAGCAGTTGTTCTTTAGGTTTACTCATTCTGGCAAATCTGGAAATTGTCACTACAGGCTGGTCAAGTGCAGATGTTTGCGAAATCACAAGTCTTGACAGAGACCTTTGTTTTGCGTGAAGTTTGCTATAAACCTACTAATTTATGTGATAAAAATTTTAAAAGCATTTGAGTTTTGTATGAGTAAATACTGGCTTTCAAATTTGGGTGGAAAACCAGCCTGAGACAGATTTGCTCTGTGATTCACGCCAAAATTTGAGAGTGAAGCTTACTGATTTTTTTAATTTGGTCATCGTGAAAGTTTTTGGAATTTGAATCTAGTTTCTAATGGTGTCTTTTTTTTTGTAAATCAGAATTTTTTGCAATGAGATAAATTTGCTTTTCTAAGACAATATTGTTCTAGAAATTTGTCGTTTGAGTCTTGAATGGTTATAGGAGGTTAAGGACATGGTCCTTAGAGTACAAGGGTAGTGATGTCAGTGGGTTTAATGTGTGTGATTGTTAGATTAAGGGCTACCCAACTCAAAAAGGGTTTACTATGAAGTGGAGGTGAGTAATTCTCCCTATTCTTGTGTTTTGAAAAATGCAATTTACATGATGTTAAAAGTTTTTTTATAATGAAGTTAAATATTATTTTGTTATATATGTGCAAATTCGGATTACATGTGATATGCTGAAATATTTTGAAAGTACATTTTTATGCTATGTTATATAATCTGAGCCACTCAATTATGATCGTGACTAGACTATGTAGGATAACATCCATACCCGTTAGACTCTTTTCTAGTGGGTGTTAATCACTAAGTCATATCCGTTAGATCCTTGTCTAGTGGGATTAAACACTAGGCTATATTCGTTAGAACTTTTCCTAGTAAACGTTAAACACTAGGCTGTGTACATAGAGACCGATGAAAGCGTGACCCTCTATTTTAAGTAATTTAAATTTACAAGTGAAATGTTATTAATGTGTGCTCCATAAGTGAATGAAAGAAAGTATGTTCAAGTGATTGATGACTGTAAATGATTGTTTGGATATGTACTATGAAGTGTATTTGGTGAAACTTATGCAGATGTTTTTGAAATTTTATTTATATGTAACATACGTAATCCGACAAGAATAGGCGGAGCTACTTGTTTCGCATTTCTGTGCTCAATCCCATTTTTCTAACTTTTTTGCAGATGACCTTGATGAATATGAGCTAGCATATGTTGAAGGTGATGGAGTTGGAAATGAGTGATCAAGAGATAAAAATGAAGAGTTTTAGCCGGAAAAAATCAATGTAGTTAGTAGTCCTTGCAATAAATGTTTTAAGACGACAAAATAGACTGTATTACTAGACTAGGTTTTGGAGATACAACAATTTTATTGTTGGGCTTCCTCTTAGGTTTTTGATTTGTGAAGTCATAATGCGATTTTGAGAAGTTTAAATTTTACGCAACTTGTTATATGTTACATGTAAAAGCAAGATACCTTGCGGGTTTTTAGAAGTTTACTTCTTGAATTTTTGCGGCATGCTACGCATCCAACGTGGCAAATTTGGGTCGTGACACCACATCCCACTACTAATTTGGCTTCTTCTAGTGAAGGACAGCCCTTGATAAACTGCCCAACAAATGGTCCATCACGCATGCCAATCCTTCATGGTCCTTACATGTAGGATGGGCTAAAATAATAGTCCATTCAGACTGCAAACCAGGAGTAGATCAATAAACAGATGCAACGACTATGACTACAGCATTGCAACTATTCTGGAAGACGTGCAGGAACTTAGAACAAGATTTGAAAGTTGTACTTTTGTATTTATATCTAGATCAAAAAATGAAATCAGCCATGCTCTAATTCAGTTTGCTGTTAAGCTAGTGCATGATATTGAATGGGATCAAGATTTCCCAAGATGGCTGATAGACTTAGCGCAGAAGGAAATGAGAGTAGTAGCCCTTTTTTGTAATTAATCCGTGTAATATCAAGTGTATATATATATATATGAATCTGTTAACGTTTGTTGGAAAAAAACAAAGACTTACTCCTGAATTCTGGAGTAAATTCAACTTAACATCCTCACCTAAGTGCAAAGAAACTAGTGACCTGTAGTTCAGCACTCCGAACTTAAATAAATGGTTGGTGTAACAGGGCCACTCAGTAATGGACACTATTCACGTCCCCGGGAAGTGCAGTATTTCAGCACAAAACTTCGGATAGGAAGTCCATGGTCCCGTAGTAGGGACAATCTCCTAACAAAGATGATAAAATTTGAGACATTGGCATCAAGATATGCTCTTTCAATTCCAGGTTGGATCTTGAAATTAAGGAAAATGTAAACGAGTGAAGTAGAAACATATCACCGATTAGTTGACAAAAGGGAGATGGTAACAGTCAGTTTTGTAACCTGCCATCTGCTCGAGTATGGGCAGGTAACAGCTTCTTCTTTATCCACCAGAAACGATAAGATGTAGCAGAGAAGATGGCACCAAAAAGGAATGGCACGATAGGTCACCTTAGGGAAAAAACACTTTTTAACTACAAGGAAGGCTGCAGCTTATTTTCTGAGATGGACCAAAGATTTACAGAAGTTTATCTAGACAAAGGATAATAGGATTTCTTTAACCACCAGAAAACATGTAGCTTTAAAATTTGACTGGTGGTTAACTGAGTGAACAGAAAGTATACAGGATCATTAACCAGCGTGATGATGCAACGAGGGAAATGCTTCAGTCTCCTTCCGTCCGTGGCCGGACGCATGCACAAAAGGGTGCTTTCTTTCGCCTGTGGTTCGATCTTACTACTCCATAACCATACAGATAGTCTCTGAGCAGAACTCTTCTTTTCATCTCGGAAATTTTACTTTTGCCTTTGCTGCTATCTTTTTCATCATCCAGCTTTAGTAAAACAAACTGTATCTTCTGCACCTCCAACTGCAATCGCCCAATTCTCTCGGATATTCTTCGTGCCTGTTCTGAAGTTTTCCTCTTCCTTCCACTTCCACTTTCTTCAGACTCCATTGAAGAAGACTTTGCATGAGAAGATAAGGGCGTACCTTCCATATTTTTCATTAGTTTGCCATTAAGATCAAATAACTTCAAGATCGCTGTCTCTGCTTCTTCCAGCTGCTCCTTTAAAATATCACATTCATCTATAGCTTTTCCCTTTCTGCTCTTCTCAATGATCTGAAGCTTCCTCTTCAAGTCTTGCACTGTAATTTGAAGATTTGTCAATTTCTGGACATCAGAATTAAGCCTTTCCAATACCTTCCTCCTGTTCCCTTCCTGAAGAGGCTCTGTAGATCTCTTTGAAAATTCCAACTTGTCCACTCCCAGCTCCTTTTCAATAAGAATATCTGAAATAGGTAGTTCATTCTTCTGTTTCTTTGCTGATTTAACCCGATGGAGATTGGTAATTTTCTCAGTCGATGGGTTCACCATCTTATTGGACTTGCCTACAGTAAGATCAATACTGCCATCATGATCAACTGTTTCCCATGACTCAATGTTTTGCACCTCAGCATCACCCTGTTCTCTCCTACTGATTTGATAAGGTGAAAATTCAGATATCTGGTCAAGCATAATATCTTTTGTCAAAAGCCCATTGTCCATCTCAGACCATTCAGAGGTTGGCTTAGAGTTTCTCCTACGCTGATTGCTCTCAGATTTTAACTCTGCAATCTGTTTCTTAGCAGTCTCAAGCTCTGAATGCACGCTTTGGTTTTCCTGCTTCAGGAGATGTTCTCTCTGAGTAACTGCCTTCTCAATAGATTGAATCCTCCAGTGGAGATCCTGTAAAGCTGAAATTGGATCAGCCACTACTTCCTCAATGTCGTTGCCTCCATTTTCACATACATGATCTAGCACTTCAGCATCCTGTGAAAAAAATAACAAAAAAAAAGGCAAATATAAGTGTTCCAAGTCACAAAAATTTCCACTTTAGCAGCTGATAGCTCAGAAAAAATACTGTGTTTCGATCAGAGATAAAATTATTCATGAACTGAAATTGGAAGGTTGCCTTTACAGAAGCATTCGCTACTTTTAACAAGCAGACAAATATTCAGAAGGAGATTATCAAATTTGAGATTCTTAGAGATTTGGATATGGCGGATAGCCTGGTTATGCTTAAGCACACTAAGATTTGAATATGCTGGATAGCCTGGATTATATCAGCATATCCACATATGACTGCTCAGTCATATTTGAGAGCTAGCACTGTCCAACTGTAAGACTCAAAATCAGCAAAAAGTACTTATCAAGAGAGATCACACATGGAAAGACGGAATAGAAACAAGGTAAACACCAAGCTGAACAATTTGTTCGGTACAATTAACCATCACAAGGAGAGAAGCTATAATTGAGTATCAATGCAGATGATGGACGGAGAATTAAGAATAAGCCCTTACGTGCATGATGAGTTAATATAATGTGTACACATGTAGATTTAAAATATGTTGGTACATAAGGTTAAAAAAAAAAAAGAGCTTTATATATAAACAGTCATACAATTGCAATATCATGAAGTTGAATTTCATTACTTCTGCAGCTATACCAATTTGATTGTCCTATCATTGTTTTCATGTTCTATGGTCAGAGATAAACTAAGCACAGTGGAACAAAAATCAAGTTAAAATAGTCTGTACGAGAGATGTCAATAATTTACCAATACCTTTTGCTCTTCATATTGAGGTATCTCAAGCTGTCCATGCAAACAGGTGCGCTTGACTAGGGATGATATGCATTCACTTAATGAAGTAATAGCGGGGCCATAAGCACTCAGCTGAACATTTAGACCTTCATTTTGACTTGCCAACAAATTTGCTCTTTCTCTCAGAAGCTTGATATCAGCATCTTTGGTAGTGCTTTCATTTTTAAGAGTCTCGCATGCTTCAGTGAGCTGATGAAGCGTCTCTTCATAAAGAATTTGGTAGAGCTTGGAAGCCTCTAGTTCAACAAACAAATCTGAAGCATATGCCTCCCACGTTTCAATATCATCCCTTGCCATTTCGAGCTCAGAGAGCAGAGTTTCCTCTCTAACTTTTGTCTTTTGATGATCTTCATGTAGTTGCTGTAGTTCTATTTCCTTCTGAATTAAAACCTCACCCAATTTCCTCTCCATTAAGTTCAATCTTTTCCTAAGATCATCATTATCATTATTTACTTCATCTAGTTCTTCAGCCAGTGCTCTTATTTCCAAAGACTTTTCATCCACACAGCTCCTGAAGAAGGAAGAAAGGTGACCCAGATATAGCATTTCCCTGAAGACAACAGAGTTTTCCTCTTCCAGTGTACCATTTTTTTCCCCCAGCAATAAGAACTCCTTTGTTAAGGATCCTTTCTCCTCGCAAGTTTTTGAATTTTCACTCTGCAAATCAAGGTAAGACCCTCGTAAATCCTGCAACTTCTTCTGCAAATCTGAAACTTTAGTTAGTAAGGATTCCTGTTTGTGATCTCCCTCTATTAGTTGTGTTCTTAGTTCTTCATTCATCTCATGCAGCTTGAGGGCCTCATTCTGCAAAGCAAACAGCTGCTCATGTCTGATCCTCAACTCCTGGTCATTGATGCATTTCTCCAACTCAAGATTTTGTGCATCAATCCTTAGTTGTCCAATCATTGCAACAAGAACTGACAACTCTACAGACCGGCGCAGATTTTCTTCTTCAGTTTCATACATAGATTTTTTGGCACCTTCAAGCTTGCTTAGAATGTGATTCAGAAAAGTTTGGTCCTGCCCACTCCTATTGCTATTATCATGGATTGGAACAATGTCAAGAGCCTTGAGCAACTGGAATATCCCCTTCCTCAGAGTGCTGCCTTCATCAGACAAGGAGATAATCTTAGCTTTTTGACTAAGATTATCTTTCTTTAACTCATAAAGCATCTTCTCCAATGATATAGATGTCTCAAAGAGTTTCTGATTCTTGGCTGACAGGTAGAAATTTTTTTCTTCTAGGTCCCGAGCACATTTTCTTAAGATAAAGACTTCAATGTGGGAATGAAAGGAGTTATCCAGCTCCTTGTTGAATTCTCTCTTACTGGAATTTATCTCCTCTTGCAAGAGACTCCTGTCACTTTCCAAACAAGCCAACTGCATCTCCCTTGTATGGGTGAAACTAGCATGTTCTTGCTTTTGTACATCCAAAGAAATCTGTAATTCTTGTATCTTACAATCTGATGATTCTTTCTCCTTCTCCAGATCTGAGTACTGTTCTCCCAGGTCTAAATATCTTCTCTCTAGGTCGTCTAGTCTCATTTTGGTGCTTTCAAGTTGAGAAGTCAAAACATCCTTTTCAGCGACAACTCTAGCCTTCTCATCAACTAGCAACTGGCAGGACTCTTCTAAGCTCCTTGATTTTGTCTTCAACCCTTGAAGTTCATCAAGAGCATCAGACAGGGAATTCTCTAGAAAAGTGTTCTTCTCTGATAGATTTTCCAAACTTTGATTTGCATCCTGCAGCTGAGCTTGTAATGATGCCTTGTCATCAAGAAGAGCTGATTTCTCCTCCAAAAGAGATTGGCAAGATCCTTCTAGAGCTGTTATCTTGTGCCTAACAGCTTCCAGTTCAGCATTTAAATCTGCTAGAGAATTCTCCAAAATGGAATTTTTCTCAAGGAGCTGTTCCAGAATTTCCAGTTTTTCCAAAAGAGCTAACTTCTCACTGCTTTCCCTCTGGCAGGAGTCTTTCAGATTTGAGTTCTCGTCCTGCAATTCCTTCACTGATGTTCCAAATGAATCTGCATTCAGTCCTACTGCACGTACCTGCTCCATGATGGACGAGTGTTTTTTATTGAAGTCATTTAGTTCTTCTTTTAGACAGTAGATTTCTTGCTGAAGAGCATTTCTTTGGTCCAGTCGAAGCTCAACCTCTTCCTCGAGTTCCCCTTTAGTTTCAGTTAAGCTAGATATTTCATTCTGCAAATCTTTTATTGTAATTGCTGAAGAAACTCTGAGCTCATTGAGGCTTTTATTCTCCTCCTTCACCTTCAGAACTTCTTCATGCAACCCCTTATTATGAGTTTCCATTTCCCTCAGAGTTTGAACCTTATTCTGGAGCTCTGAGGATAAAGATCGAAGTTCTTCCTGTGCTTGGGCATGCAAATGCTGCAGTGTCTGGAAAGCAGTTTCAGCCTCCACAAAACGCAAGCGCTCTTCTTGTATACAAGTCCAAAGTCTTCCCAGTTCCTTCTGCTTTTCTGTAAGTTCTTGACTTTGATTACCCATCTTGAGCATCAAGACTTCCACCTCAGACTGCAGAGAGTGATTTGATCTTTCTAAAAGGAGGCATTGCTCCTCAGCACCCTTTAAGGTGGCAATTCCATTCTCTATCTCAACGTTCAGACGTTTAGCCTCCTCCTGAGCAGAAGAGAGATTACGCTCTAAACTAGAAATTGTTTCCAAGCACTGGTGATACTGAACCTCTGCAGCTTCCTTCTCCTGAGTCAACCTGGAAATAGCTTGCTTCAGTGTTTCAACCTCGTTTTCAGCCTTCTCAGCCCGCTCCTTCAACTTGCTGATGTCCTCTTCAGTACATTGTAATTTGTGCTCCAGGTTTGATATCATCTCCAGAGAACTCATGTACTGGTCAAGTGCAGCATCTTTTTCAGCAGACACCTTCGTGAGTTCATCTTTAAGTGATTGAGCTTCAGTTTCAGCCTTATAAACTCTCTGATTATGTTCCTCAGCATCCTCTTGGGCACGAGAGATGGTTTTCTCCAGATCAGATATCCTGTCTAAGCACTGGCGGTACTGCAAAAGATTAGCCTCTTTTTCAGTTTCTAACTTAGTGAGGGCTTCCTTCAATGTTGCAGCTTGGGCTTGAGCTTGGCTTGCTTGTTCACTGAGTCCCTTGGAATCTTCGTGGGCACGTGCTATTTCATATTCCAGCATTGACAATTTCTCCAAACTCTGCTGGTACTGCATAAGGCCAGCTTCCTTCTCTTCTTCTACTTTGACAAGAGCTTTCTTCAAGCTTAGAATCTCCTCAGATTCATGCACTTGATTCTGCTCAGACAGCAGTTGGCTATTGTGACTTTGTTTATCACTGCTTAGTACATTTTTTTCTTTCTCCTCTGCCTCATGAAACTGGAGGCTCTTTCTCACCCTGCCATCTTCGGTTAATGTGCCATTCCTCTTAGCACCATTGGAATGCAAAGCTGACAGCCCAAGTGCCTCATTTTGCAATTCGTCAGGCTCAAAGAACACCCGTACAGGGGTGGACATCTCAGGTGTTTGATGATCAGGCCCAGAAGCAGAATTTGCAGGTGAGTCATCAAGCATAAGGGAAACTTGGTTAGGAAAAGCTTCTGCCATAGTCCGGTGGGCATGACGAATTACTCCAGTTGCGTGATCATATCTTTCAGCCAGTGCACGATACGCACGGTAGAACTCTTCTACCAATTTCATGAGCTCTGGACGTTTCTTATAATACATCTCTGCCCTCTTTGCAAAGGAATCAGCATCTTCTTCTATGAGCTTTATCATTGATTTGACTTTGGCATCCATATCTGGAAAGTAACAGACAATTTTACAAATTACTGGATGACACTTAAACAGGAAGCAGCACAAGGACCACAGCATAATAATAAACAAATCTTTCATTGTGTTTTCAACCACATACATATACAAGGAAATAAAAGGGAGGGAACATAAATATTGCTGCCGAACTGTTCTTAAATATCACCTATTTAAGTTTTACTGCAAGAATAAACCTCAAAATTGAGAATGTACAGTATGTTAACCACTTGGGGCAAAGAAACTACTACATAATCATACACTTCAATCTCCAACTTCTTTTGATTTATAAGCACCATAATGGTGATGCCAACTGTTCTACATATCATGCCATACCATGATGCTGAGAGTTCATTAAAGCATGAAAGGTATTCAAAGTTAGCAAAAATGGTGAAGCACAAAAATTCAGGTTACCCAAATTCTTAAAAGCTATTACTGGAGTCTAGGTGCTGAAAGTTGGTTGAAGCATGAAAGAACAGGTAGCAATGGGACTCAAGCCTCATGCTTCAAAAATGATGGCACAAAATATAGTAAGGAAAAGAGCAAATAAAGTCAACCGGCATCTCAGTTCACCTGATAAGTTGTATATATATATATACAGAAATATACATTTGCCACCAAAAAAAAAAAATTGCAGAAATGTACTAAGTAACATACCAGTAAGATTTTCCTGAAGCCATTTGGAATTTTTGGGGCTAATATGACTGTCCCACCACCAAGAGTACATCCGTCTAGAATTCGTGTGCGAAATGGTAGCCATGGTTCCAACTAATGCCACAGAATTCTGTTGTAACCACCCAAAGTGTTTGTCCACCAGAGAGTTCGTGCCAATTCAGCAGTGATGCTCAGAATTGGATTTTCCTACCTGACCCTCCTTGTCTATTTTATCTAGTCTTGCACTGAAAATCGATAATCTATTTCAAAGCTTACACTTGCAAGAAAAGAAGATGATGATTATGAAGATCATAAAAGGCCAGTAAGCTACCTGATGAATGAAATTCAAGTCCCAAAAACTAAGCAGGTAGCAGAAATTGCTCTCTGTTGCCTTGGATACACTTAGATTAAACCTGAACACCTTATACATGGTTAGAACAAAACCCATAGCACAAAAAAAAAAAAAAAAAACCAAGATAAGAAGATCAAGAAAGGCAAGCAACCTACCTGATTAACAGACCTCAACTCCCCAAAACTGTACAGGTACCAAAAACTGCGGTCTGGGCTTTCAGTAAACTATTGTATAATCCCTGATCAAGTCGTAAGGAATTAGCCAGATCATTAAAATTTCAGTTAAATCCACAAAAGATACAGAAAAATAAGATCTTTGAAGCTGGAGGATCTTCCAAAATCCGAAACTTCGCCGTTAAGTTCTACTAATTAAACAACCGAAATCCCAACTAGATATCATCAAAAACATTTTAAAAAAAAAATTCCAGGACAAGTATCAGAGTCAGCTTGACAAATCAAAAGTAAAAGAAACAACAGTTTCTTCAGCAAGCTACACTTAACAATACAGTAGATTAAACATACGTAGACGACACCATTTATACGCGTATAACAACTGAATTCTACATGATCAACCCGTAAAACTGAAGTTGGAGGAAGAAGAGTAGAAACTCACCGGAAAAGGAAAAGCAGATAATGAAAATTGGATGGAAAATCAATAAAAGTAGCTCCCGTGGGATAAAGAGCTCAATAGCTTTCGTTTTCTCACACACACACACACACTCTCTCTCTATCATCCCATGGCTTTGCTTCGCTGGTAGATCTCTGTTTCTCTCTTTAGAGTAGTGTCTTTTGCTTTTACGCAGCCTTAGTGCTACTGCTGCCGTTGGCATTTTTTTTCTTTTGGTTTTCTTTTTTTGCAATAAAAAGTTTGAGTAGGTTTTTTTTTTTTTTTTTGGTAATAAAAAGTTAAAGTAGGTTCGGCTCTTTGTCGCCATTAGTATTTTTCTTGCTTTTTTTTGTAATAAAAAGTTTGAGTAGTTTTGATAGTTAAAATCAGATAGAGTTTGTCTTCGAGATCATAGATCGTAACACAGTCTCGTACCTCTAGATTCACAAATTACCCACCAACATAGTCTCGTGCTCTTGAAACTAATTGGAATTTTTACGAATCATTCATAGTACAGCCTCATGATCTCGGGATCAGAGCGCTTACAGAAGTTCATACTGATCATCTATATTTACACAGACACAGTCCCATGTCCCATAGGTCGCAACATAGGCCCACGTCCCAAGACCCACAAATCATCCATTCCGTGGCTTCCGAAATCTATAGGATTGTTATAAATTGTCAATTAATATAATTTCATACTCTTGAAATTCATACATTATTTATAAAAATTTACATAGACCGTTCACCAATACAAACACAACCATCACATGAATAAGGGATTTGAAGACACAATCTTTTATGAACAATAACCGAATCAAGTTGTGCTGGCACTCCTTATTGTTGTTGGCATAATGCTAGTGTTGTGACTGACACTTGTGAGTGGCAGCCCCTTTTTTTTTTTCCAAACTATTAATGAGTAATCACGAAATAAAATGTTACTAAAGAAGGGGAAATCAGAACCGGACAATTTTTATCAACGAAGGACAACAATTTTCTCTTGTTTTAACGTTAGCAAAACTCAATGACGATATTGTCCCTAGTTGAAACTTTCGAGAATGTTTTTCTTGTTGGAGCTTTCTAGAAATCTGACTGTGCACGAGCGCCCAGGCCATACCCCGGATTGGCGACGCATTCTTTTTATAACATTTTAAAGTAATTACAAATTCTTTGGTTCATTTTATTTACTACTTAATTGTATTTAGGGTGGGAGATTCTTGAGATCTCTTGTTTACTGCCCTGCTTTCATCTTTGACCATAATTACTTGTCAGCTAGATTTGCCACCAAAATATAGGGTTTGTTTGGACAGGTGATTATTTCTTCAAATATATTTACTTATATCATCATTACAATTTTCAATATACTTTTTCATTTTTTCAATTATTTTTTTATCTCACATACATCACATTACAAAAAATGCTACAGTAAAATATCTCAAATAACTTACAATCCAAACAAACTGATGGATCTTGAATAGTTTTTTTAAATTTTTTTTAGTAGAGAAGTGGTGAAATTTGAGAAGGACAAAAGGAGTATAAAAATTTAGAATTAAAATATCTAATTTCTAAAATCTCAAAAATCTCCAATAGCCTATTGGATTAATATCAAACCAAAAAATAATAATTTTGATTTTTAAAATCAAATTTATACATTTTTTTAACATTGTTTATTAGTTTGTTAGCTCTTAATGATGATTACATCTAAAATATTTCATAAAACAGACACATTCAAATTCAAATTCAAATTTAAAATAAAATTGTTGAGAACTCATAATTCTGCGGGAGTGAAATTGCACTAGACCTATGGAACCAAAGCAAAAACCAGGAAAGGATTGAGGTGGTCAAAATGTCAACTCTTAAAGGGCATACACGTAAAATAACGATGAGTAAGTGGGCCCACGCACGACACACATGGCTTATAGAATACTGGAGTAATGATAGGGGCATGAAATGCTTTATAAAAGGTGGTTGGCCAGGGGCGGTTTGGTTGGCTTGGACGGTGGCAACGGTCGCGTCACGCCTTACGCGACAAGTGAATTTGCCATCACGCAGTGGCCGACGTTTGTCACGATTCATTTTAGTCTTGTTAATACCTTACATTCCTTGGGCCCTTTGCAGAGCTGTCAACCCGTCGGGTTTGGACCGGACCCAACTCGGATTTGGCAATTTTTCCTGGATATAGGTTGAAAAATAAATTCGATATTCGGATCCAAATTTGTACCCATTTATTCTAATAAAAAAGTAAGTCAGATACGTAATATAGAATTCCGATCCATATTCAATTCGGATCCAAATTTGTACCCATTTATTCTAATAAAAAAGTAAGCCAGATACGCAATATAGAATTCCGATCCATATTCAATTCAGATTCGAACAATACATTACTAATTATAAAATATAAACTTTCTAAATACATTCGTTTACTAAATTAGCAAAGTATTCTTTTACCAAATTAATCAAAATATCCGTATCCCAAATGAAGCATCTAAGAAATTAGGATTTGAAAGAAGCAAACTTGTTTGACTAAAAATGTATTCATCACAAATTGCATATAAAGTGCTTTTTGCTAAATATCCTGAGATTATGTTGAGCCTTTTTGTTAACACAGGTAAAAGAAAATGAATGATATATGTTGAACATTTTCTTTTCGAGCAGATCCAGATCCAAGCCGGGACCCATCGGACTCTGTTCCAAAATTTGAAGCACAAGACCCGTCAAGTGTCCGGGTTAGATCCGGATCTAGTACATTAAATGGGGTTTGGGTCTAAAACTTTCAATTTTTTATCCGAACCCGACCCAGTTGACAGGCCTAGGCCTTTACCTTCTACCAACCAGTGATTTAGCACAACCACAAAAGCTCAATGCCCACCAAAAAGACTGTAAGTCGGAAGTTCGAACACCACCTGCAGTCAAAAAGATTTAAAGGAGGTGCCAAAGCACTCTTTTGATCTAATAATATGCCTATTAGCCCTTTACACAATTTCTTTAAATTCTCCCTTTCTATAGAATAAGATATATTAGATTATAGAAATGTTATCGTTGCCGAAAAAAAAAGTGATTTAACACACCAAATGTGTGCTTATTCTAAAAATATATAATAAATCATTTTTTTTTTACAATCAACTGTTATATGTAGAATTATGTTAGTGTATGTATGTACTTTTCTCAAAAATCTATAAATACTACTATTTTTTGGAAAATGAAGATGACAGCAGAGAAAAAAAACTTAAAAATTAAATGTACACCATTTTCTTCTTTCATCTATCACCAAAATGTAGGTGGTGTACTACCAAAATAGTTCAAGTTTAATGTAGGTGGTGTTTCAACTATAATCTTCTTGTTATACGGTTGGTATGGAACTGACCACGGCCTAATAATATGATGGCATTGCCAAAACGGATTTCCTTAAAATGAACTCTGGTACGAAGACAGATTTGTGGTAGTAATAGTCAAAAGTGTACAGTTATCAGATGCTGTTTGGATGATAGGTCAGTATAGTAGAATTTTCCAATCATATACCTTGACTTATTTTGCTAGTAATAATAACTAAAATTTATTAGAGTTTGTTTGGATTACGAGTTTTAGTGAAAAAAAATTTATACTATTTTTTGACACATTTTTAAATTAATATTTTATCTTATATACGTTATATTGTTACAATATATTATCTACAAAAGTTTAAGAAATCCCCCTAGGACATATAGATTGGGATATTTGAAATGAGAATGGAAATTGAAAAGAAAAAAAAAAGAAGAAGAAATGCAAACGTTCTTTGTTGACACTGAGTTCTAAGTGGTGGAAATAAATAGGAAGGCTAAAGAATGCATGTCCCGACTCTGATGCTCTCAAAGAAAAGAAACAAACTTATCATGTTTTATCTGTTTTTAATTTAAAATTATTTATAGATTTGCGATCATCTACTTTTAAAACTCGTATCTACTGGACTCGGTTCAGCAGTTAGATAAAAATGTTTAAACACCTTCTCTATTTTTAGATTTAGAATTTAAATCTTATGTTTGACAGCTAGGAATAGAAAGAAGTTAGGAAGGACGGAAGAATTTTACCTTTTGAAAAAAAAAAAAAAAAAAAACCCTTACTTGCTCCAATCCTGTGAAGCAAAATATATAGAAGAAGAAACAAAAACAAAAACAAAAACAAAAACCAGCTGGGACGTGGCTCTGGTTCATCCTACGAATAGTGAACTTCACAGAAAACGGCTGCCCATTAAAATTGATGATATGGAATTGGTGAGACGTCTCTTTGTGGGGGCAATCGGTTTAGATTGGTGATGTGTTTGAAAGATGGAAGACGACTAGGGGGCCGGGTTGTCCAATTCCCAATTACTACCATTGACCCGTTTGGCAAGCAAATTTTTTATCAAGAGTCTGTTTGTTTCGGGTGAAAATATTTTTCAGGAAAATATTTTTCTAATTTTTCGTGTTTGGTTGCACAAAAGTTACTGAAAACATTTTCCTATGTAAAATATTTTCACTCATCTTATGGAAAACAACTTCCCTTCCAAACTTACTGAAGTTGTTTTCCGAAATGCATGCATCTCGCCTGTAGTATGTTCCAAACTTATTGAAAATATCTTGTAGTATGTTCTTTTTTTTTTTTTTGTATAAACAGGAGGACTCGAATCCAAGAACTCTTCCTTACACTCCCTCCCCCGTACCACCCAACCCTCCCCTAGTATATTCAAAATTTAAAAAAAAAAACTCATCCTGCTCATCCTATGCTAGTAATTAATTATGTATAATATAGACATTCTTTTCTAGAGAAACTTTCAGCAGTGAGAGTGCAAGATATATGTCACAATAAGCATTGCATGTGATTGATATTTGACACTAAATGGCCAGCAATTTGTTTATTGCTTAAGGAGATATTTTTTATTCATATATACATTTCTCCAAGAATTTTTAAAGTTAAACAATGAGATAAATTTTCTTATTTTGCATGGGAAGAAGTATGTAATTATAATGTGTAGAAAGTAAAAATAGAGATAAACGTGAAAATATTTCAAAAATTAAACAAACACCAAAAAAATGAAGTAAGAAAATATTTTCAATAAACTAACCAAACACCTGAAAATGATGAAAGGGAAATGATTTTCATGGAAAATTACTTCCACGGAAAATATTTTCCCAAGGAAAACATTTTACTTCCAACCAAACAGACCCCAAATTTATCTGCTATAAATTTTTTAACAATTTTAGTTACAATAATCTCAAAAAA